GCCTTTTTATGAGGAGTGGTAACGGTGAACAGTACTTAATATATCTTTCATAAACACTGAAGGATTTGGGTTTCAATTGTCAAAGAGACAGTTTGGTAGAAAGAGATGAAGGAATCTTTTACATTTTGTCAGCAAACCAAGCCAAGTGTTTTAAGTTGCTTCATTTATTATTAGCACTGATGCTCAAAGCAGATAAGTGACAACACATCATCACAATTGATTACTCTTTTGGCTGGACAGATAACGTTGCAGTGTTCATCACACACGGAGCTTGTACTTGTTTCTGCTTATCTGTTCATTTTGCTATGTGGTAATAACACTGTACTGTAGATCTGTAGTGTTTGTGATATTTCTAACAGGTCTGCACAAACATATGTGACCTTTTTCCTCCAGTATGCTATCCAGAGGGCCAGGTTTGACGAGCGTGTCAGCCAGACGCTGACAGGAGGAGCTCAGCATGCCTTGGATGGTCCAGCTCTCTGCCTTTTATCAAGACAGCTCATATTTTTCTACAGACAGAGTGTGGATGCACACAGATTGGTGAGAATTTGATGTGTCTTTTATGCTTCCATTATAAGTATATTGATTGTTTCAGGCGTTGTTATAACCTGAGACCTAACATACATCTTACATACTGTCTTATTTGTGTGTTTATAAAGATATGGTTGTGCCAGAACCTGGTGAAACTCAACAGTCAGTTTGTGAAGCTGTTGGTGGGCCCACAGAGACAAACATGTATGTTTCAGATCAAGAGGATCTTAGGCTTCTGCTGCAGGTACAGTACTGAACAAATAATGGGTTCGTATTGTAGCTGATGGATGCATCAACACGTACGATAATACAGAAGAAAGTTGCCTCCATCTCACTTGCCTCTGTTTATGTCTCCTCAGACTCCTACAGAACTGCACGGATGACAGTTTAAATGTGGCGGTTCCCATGCGGATGCTAGAAATCTTTTCTTCAGAGAAAACCTATCTTCCCGTTATTCCAGATCCTAACTATGTAGCTTCATTACTCGAGCAGATTTTGCACTATATGGTACAGAAAGGTAAGTTCACAGTGATCGTATTCCAGTGTGCACTGTAGCACACACACTAATCAACCTTTTAAGGCCTAATTGTCAAACATTAAGGGTTGTATAGAGATGGCGAATGTGTGTCAATATTCAATGGTCTGAAGTTTGTTTGACGACTTTTATCTGTACATGGGCAGTTCCTGCTCTGACTGGCACCTGGGTATATACAGTACTGTGCACAGGTCAAGTGCATCTCATAGTGTTTACATTTTACAAAAGGTGTGACTCATTTCAGCAGCACTGTTTAAAATTGTTCCTACCCGTCAACACAAAGCATCTTGTTTAATTTTCAGCACTAGGTCAACTGCTGTCAGGTGTCTGGAAGCCTAATTAACCAGGCAAACTGGCAAGCCCTACTTTTAGAGCTAAAAATATTAAGCCTAGGGGAGTGCTCTTCAGTTGATGTTGCAGGTTATCCTTGCTTCTCTTTGTACATTCTCAGTACAATTGAGACTTCAGCTGATGCTTTTACATTTGCTGCATCACTGAGAAAAGCTCCAAACGCAGACTGTTGACATCCTTGCACCAATTCTACACATTTATTGCTTTTAATGTTCATGTCAAGTGTGTAATTATATTGGTAGGCGTTTTATAAATTGAGCCAAGGTCCTAAAAATAAAATTTTAATTTCTCTTTGTATCTTCTCTACAGGATACTACAGGTCGCTGTATATTCTTGTGAATCACAGGCTCCCTTCTAGCCTGGAGTACAGCGATGCTCCTTCTGTCCCTCTAGCAAGCACACTGTTGGAGCACATTCTCAAACCTCTGCACTTTACCTACTCCTCCTGCACAACAGGCGCAAGGTACAACACGAGACTGACGTAACTGCTGCTTGGAATTGTAAAAAAAAATGTAACATTTCATCATGTCCTTATGTTTTAATTTGTTATGGAGCTGGATCTCATCACTGGCTGAAAGAGCCAAACTAAATCAGCAGTTTGTCAGCATTGTCTCTGATGATAAAACCGCCCCTTATAATAATAATAATGTAATAACCTCATCAATGATCTTGGATTAGTTATATTCTGGAAAAATCTGAAGTAGACACGAACAGGAGAAGTATCCATGAGCAACAGACCTTCCTTGTGCAGTGCTGCAGTGCTGACCTTGAGAAGTCCTAAAAGCAAATTTCCCCTATTGACAATTAATAGAGTATCAGAAAGAGGTCTGGATGATAAAGATTCACAAATAAACTTAGTTAAGTAACGTCTGCAGACTTCTTTTTGAGTACAGAGAAAATACAACTGGATAATAGCAGGAAAGGAAAGTCATTGTCCCTAGTGAATTCTCTAAAAATCATCCATTAAACTGATCAGACAAACTGCAGCAGTTTTTTGTCCCCTCTAGTCAGTGTTGAAGCAGTAATTGCTTCAGAGACCAATTTACAACAAGCCATAAAAGCCCCCAAGACCCGCTCGCTCGCCAGAGTGCAGAATATCAGGCTGTTTGCCCTCAGTTTCAGACATTCTTAATAACAAACGACAGGGCACTTCTTTTCTTCTTTGAAGAAAAGCAAGGCGGGAGTGAGAGAAACTTGTGTACACACTGACTCTAACAGATAATTATCTGACTTGGCCCACCAGATGTGTGTGACTGGGCCACACAAAGCAGCTCTGTTTGGAGACACAATATTGGACCACTCATGCAGCAGAAAAAGCTGTTGGTGTAGGAATAAGCCACCCTGTTAGCTAATTTCTTATGAACATACAGTGGTTTGATTATTTTTTTCTTTCATGCAGTGCATTAACTTGTCTTATGTCTGTTTGTCATCTTACAGGCAGTTTGTATTCGCAGCCTTTACTGAGGAGTTTATCTCTACACCGTTCACCGAGCAGATCTTTCACTTCTTTATCCCGGCACTGTCGGACATTCGTCTCTCATTCCCATTCGAGGCCTTCCTGAGCTCCCTCCAGGGCACCATTGGCTCCTCCTCGGCGCCACAGAGCAAGGCACCGTGGGTGTTTTACTTCGTCCTCTCTGCAGGGGAGAACTGCTTAGGTGGGTGGAACAGTTTAGAGCACGCACACTGCACACTCCATATACTGTATATGGCTTAGCGGAACCATAAACTCTTGGACTGATTTATAGAGATGAAGATATGATGGTGTGCTCAATAATGGTGATGGGTATTGTTTTGGCAGGCTCACTATCAGAGGAGGGTCTCCAGCTGTACCTTCGGGCTCTGCAGACGCTGTTGCCACTGCTGCCAGTGTCGGAGAACAGCGGCAGGCCTGAAGTTACCAGCGATTCAGAGGACGACGATGACACTGGCATCCATCCACCCCCGATGCAGGTACGATACATACACAGACCAGATAGTATATTTCTACTATCTGGTCTGTACCCAGTACTCGTCACAGATCAGCTGTTGGCTAGAATATGCACAAACCTTAAAAGAAAAAAAAAAAAGCCTCATATTAACTCTGGTATCAGATCAGTACTTGATATCAGCGATTATGATACCTGAGTTCAGGTCTCATAAGCCTAAATGTGATATAACTTTCTGATCTAAATGAAATAAAAAGATGTCTACATAACTACATGTAATCTCACTGATCTTTAACTTGGTTATGAACCTACATTGCATATCATCCCCCATCTGACTTACTCCCATCATTTCCTGTCAGGTCTGTTTTGTCTCCTGTCCAATAAGGGGCTGAAAATAAAAAGAGCGGGCCACACTTAATTACCTAAAATATGATTGATGGTTTTGACCATTACAATCAATTGATGTAAATGGCAAATAAACACTGATAAATCACATCACATTATACTAAACAACAAATATGATTTTTCTTAATTTCATTACTAATACATAATACATAATACATAATAATGTGTTGGTGCAGCATTTTTCCAGTTACCCACATCTGTTTCCTTCTGTATCAGGATGACAGCAGAATCTCTGTGCAGCTGATCACAGAGGAGTGTGTCCACAAGCTGGACACTAAGCATCAGACTAACGCCCTGCTGAACCTGGTGTGGAGGGACTCAGCCAGTGAGGAGGTTTTCACCATGATGGCATCCATTTGTCACACACTCATGGTCCAGCATCGCCTCATGGTGCCAAAAGTCAGGTACAAATACACATAAATCTGATGAGACTCATTTGTTTAGGTGGAATCTGAAAGGATTTACGATTCTTTTTAAGTCAGTATTGTTTTTTCATTTTAAACAAGAAATCTTTATAATGTATATGGATCAAATGTAGCAGAGATTCTAGGTATCCTTCCTTAATTTCAATAAAATTCTTTTTGCACTTTGAATATATTAATTTCACAATGGAGCAGGTGTTTCTGAATTCAATCATTAACATTAAAGCAATTTTTCATTTTTACTGGATATCATAACATTTTATGTCTTGTCAAGATCAGCCTTGTATTCGGGGGGCTTGTTTACACACCTACCTGATTGAGAGGAAAACTGTGTCTTTATGTGTTTCCGCGCTGTAAGCAGTAATGTAAATAACGGTGAAGTGAGGCAGGCAGTTATCAGTGGTCCGCACCCACTGGCATTTACAACCGGCAAAGGAAGCAGGGATGTCAGGGAAGCTGTCAGTTCTGGATGAGGGCAATTACCCCTTCTCAGGTTGATTACATTAGGGCCAGGATGTCAGAGGTGGTGTGGGGGGGATGGGGGGGATGGAGGGGTGCATTGACTGACGGGAGGTGATCCAGACTGAGCTTCATGGATGGTCAACCTGCTCTAGTTAATTATTACTGAAGCCACTTGCTTCCAGTTGATTTAACCATGTGGGGATGTTGATGTCTAAAGGTTCATATCACGTTTGCAACAGTATCTTACTGTGTATCTGTTTTGTTATTACTAACCCTAGCTTACCTAAAACCATGCATAAAAGGATAGACATACATTAGCTTCCTCAGTATTAAAAAAACTGGACTCGTGCAGCTACAGTCTGATGGTCAATTAGTCATTTTGCAGCATTACAAGTGATTGACTAGAATTTAGAAGAATTTCAGCGCATATCGCCCATTCCCCTTAATTTTTTACGGCTTCCTCCTTCTCTTCGCTTTTACCATAAATCCTGCCCTTCGTCTTCCATCATTATTGGATATCTGTACAAAATAATTAGCTCACTGAGAAAGATTAATCACTGCAGGAGTGGACGGGATAGCTTTACAAGAGGCTAAGGGGAGCAAATTGCATCCCGGCCTTGATTTACTGCTCTTACAGCAAAAAAAAAGAGAGGCTGGCCAGTCGTCCAGCCGGCCCGGCACACTGCCTTTTTTAATAAATATGTAAAATGTCTCGTGAAATGATTTTTTTTCAGAGGACAACTTAAAAGCTGCTCAATGATTTGGGACCAAAATGGATTTTTGATTGGTTTGCTAATTGTACTGTGCCCTGGTTTGTTCTAGTGGGCATGGTGTAATTTCACTTTTAACTGTTTGTCATTGGATATTTGGTGTAATTTCACTTTGATAGTTTGGTTTCACCCAGTGTAGCACCCTGTTGCTAACGGGGCTCGCTCTCATTAAAGTGAACGCAGATGCGCTTTGGTCCTTTTTATTTACTTTTGAATGGTTGCTCTGATTTTTTGTGTTGTCTTGAGATAACGATGTTGATCGTGTTAATGCAAAAGTCTGCAAAACAACATTGGATTTAGATGGAAATCGACTCGTTCGGTCTTTATGGTATCAAATCTGACCCGAGCACTGCTGTTATTTTTTCTGCTGAACAGAGATTGTTTCATTACCTCAAAATGAAATGATCCGGGCGTTATTCATCAAGCTGCTTCTCACACACACATGCACACGCAACCCCTTTTGATGTCTTGACTTTGTTTATTAGTGGTTCATTCCATGATTGAAATGGGGGGTTTGGGTTCTCTCAGGCCGTAAATCAGCATGTCAGCTGGCATTTAGTGCTTTGTTTCCCATTTCAATCAAACACTTGCATCACTTGTTATGAGCCCACAGCACTACTCCTCGCTTCTCTCCTGAGCCTTGTACTACTGACAGATGGTGTGTGCTCGGCACAAACCATTTTTCAAGCCGTATTGAGGGTTGTCTGACGCTCTGCTCCTAATGCTCATTTCCATTTGAGAGTTTTGAATGGGGTTTGGTAGATTGAATGGGTGGAATGGGAATTTGAGCATTGACATTGAGATCAGAATATTCAGGATATATGACTCACTCTACTTTCTTCTTTCTTTTTGTCTTTTTTTTTTCTTCCTCCACTGACCTTAACTCCTCTCCTCTGCTGAGAATACATGATGCTGCCCTATTAAAGGCAAGCATCCTTATAGGTGTCAGCACTGTCACTCTTAAACAAGGGCCTATTATATGCTGGGGCACTTTATTTTGCCTTTTAGCTTACTTAACACATTATTGTCGCCTGTACTTACCCTCTGTGTGAAAAGCCATGCAATTTAGGAGTATACACAAACACACACATACACTTGAACAAAGAGCAGCTTCACACCTTGGTGCCACGGCCCGTTGAGTGCAGAGCGACTATAGCGAGGTATGTGGGCCCTCCTCAGCGTTATCATGTAATTCACTGTGAGTGTGGAAGCATGCTTGCGCTGCGGGGTCACAGCGAGGACCAGGCTTCCCCTCCTCCTCCGTCCTCCATTGTCTTGCTCCCCTGGCCATTAAGTTAAATGGGGCTCCAGCAGGAAGCCAAAGGGGCTGTTTATGACCCGAGCCGGGTACCCTCGCCAGCAACTAGTTTACTAATGGAAGGTGCCTCGCCTAAATAAAGCTTAATGGCTCATTTAATCTCTTTTCGGCCCTCACAGGGTATAAAAGGGGAGAGAAAGGCCAAGAAAATTCTATGAGGAAAATGTTGGTTAACAGTGTCATTTATTTTTTTTCTCCCCTTTTACTTGTGTCCTCTGGTTAACAGGGCAAAGTTAACAGTCGCGATATATAGCAGATGGATTGATGGAAAGTCATTTTACTGTTCTTCACACTGATTGTGTCATCTGGTTGAAATTGATGATGTATACTTTATCAAAAAAACTGTTTCATTTTAATGTGACTCTGCTTCTTTGTTCTCTGCAGACTTCTGTACAGTTTAGCTTTCAATGCGCGTTTTCTGAGGCATCTCTGGTACCTGATAACTTCCATGACAACAAAAATGATCACTGGGTTAGTAATTCAAAGCTCATTATTAGCTTATTGGCAAACGTATCCGTGTATGTGTGTACAATCATATATTCACATTTCGGCTTGTTTACAGTTTATTTGTTTGTGTCAGGACGCTATGAATCTCATACTTGGTCTCTTCCTGTCTGTCTGTCCCCTCAGCTCCATGGTGCCGCTGCTGCAGCTGATCTCGCGAGGGTCTCCCATGTCTTTTGAGGACTCTAACCGCATCATTCCCCTCTTCTATTTATTTAGTTCTCTCTTCAGCCACTCTCTTATCTCCGTGCATGACAGCGAATTTTTTGGTCACGAAATGGAAGGTAGCAGACTTTTTCCCCTTTTTTTATTGAATGAGAAGCAAGGTAATGTCCTTGTTTTGCAGCCTCAAGCTTTTCATGTTTTGTTCCCTAATGTTCTTGATCTATGCCTTTGCTTACATCTACTTTTTGACAAAATGAATTCATTGTTGCTGGACATCCTATGTTTCTTATTGGTACACATCCCTCTAGAGCTGGTTATCCTGTGGGCATCTATCATCTCACATTTCCCGCATTTGGTGGTCCTAACAAAATAATATATTGTCTGTCGTTTGTTTTCAGCAGTCACGCACCGTCTTACCGCCATGTAAATGTGAAAATCAATATCTGTAAAAGACGATGAATCCATTCTCCCTCTCAACAGGTCAGACGCAGTCCTCCATGATGCCCTTCACGCTGACAGAGCTGGTGACTCTGTCTCGCTGTCTGAGGGACGCGTGCCTGGGAATCATCAAGCTGGCCTACCCCGAGACCAAAGCAGAGCACCGCGAAGAGTACATGGCTGCCTTCCGCAGTGTGGGTGTCAAGACAAACACTGAGGTCCAGCAGCGCATCCAGGCCGAGCAGAAACGCTGGGTACAGCTCTTCAAAGTAAGATATATAAAGCTACCCGCACAATATAGCTGAATAGGCATACCTTAATTTTCATATTCAAATAACTCTAATCACGCCTGGCATGCAACTAAATTACTTTTTCTTCAATCAAATCTTGACATGGACAATGTCATTGAATGCAGAAATTTGAATATATTTTTTAATTAGAATTCATTGTCTAAAATGATTGCAGATATGGTGCTTACCTAAGTGTTCTCTTTGCTGTGGCTCTCACTTTCTCACTGTCTTTAAATACAGTGTGGGAAATAAAGTGGGAGGGGTCGGGAGGCTGCACTGCCACTGCCTCTGTGTGTGTGTGTGTGTGTGTGTGCGTGCGCGCACGTACTACACACAAAAATTGAAGTTGGAAGTTTTGAGTAGTGAGATGGCAGCAGGAGCAGTGGTGAAAGACACAGATGGGGCTTATCCATTGGCACTTTTGGTCACGCTGAGTAAAACCATACCACTCTGATTTAGGTTTCCATTACCAGTTTAAACGTGCCGTGCTGAGCCAAAACCTGGATGCGCTTGTGTTTGGGGCATCATAGACCACCTTTACCCTACAGAGAAAGTACCCTGCAACAACACACCCACACCAACACAGCCGCTTGCATTATTTTGCCATAGTGTGATGTCGGGTCTTAAAGCGAGCCATATGATTGCAAAGCATGACAAGAGTGCTTGTTTATCACCTCTACTGCCGTAATCCTTCATAGCACACAAACCCTAATTGCATCACATCAAAGCCAGAGCCATGAGACATGGAGATGAATGTGAGAGCATGTTAATCTGTCTCGACAAGTGGAACCTCCACAACATCAAGCCGCCTTTGCAGCTTCATTGGCACTGTTACATCAGCCCACAAACAGCTTCAATAGTACTAAGACCAGAAGAGACTTGACAAGAAGCAGATCTGCATGAATCCCTAGGAGCGCAGTTCGTTCAAACTATTTTTTTTTTTTTTTTTTTTTTTTTTTTTTTTTTTTTTTTTTTTTTTTTTTTTTTTTTTTTTTTTTTTTTTTTTTTTTTTTCGAAGCCGAAAAATTACAGAAAATGACAAAAAGACAAAAACGCGCCGACTTTTTTTGAGGGCCCACGCCACGGACACGGCCCGAATAGATGACAGTGCGACAAATTAGCCACTTTTGAATCAGCACCATAATTGTTGTGTCTGTACTGGAACCAATTTTGAAGCAATCCGATAAAATTTCCCTAGAAGGGGAGTTCGTTCAAATAGAAGGCCCGCAAAAATTCACCGAAAATGAGCAAAAAAGGCTCAAAATGGCCAAACTTTGGACGGAACCGCCACGCGACACGCCCTTCAACGCTACATGCCCACAAATAGCACAACTTTAATCAGCACCATTTCGATCTCTAACGCTGGCACCAATTTTGCAAGCAGATCTGAATGAATTCCCTAGGAGCGAGTTCGCTTCAAATAGAAGGCCGAAAATTACAGAAAGATGACCAAAAAAGAGCAAAACGGCCGATCTTTGAGCCACGCCCACACACGCCACAATAAAATGACATGCACAAATAGCTACAACTTTTAAATCAGCACCATTTTGCTGTTCTGTACTGACCAGATTTTGAAGCCACATCCGGATAAATTCCCTTAGGAAGGAGTTCTGGTTCACAATAACGAAGCCCGAAAATCACCAAAATGGAGCAAAAAAGTCAAAATGGCCAACTGTTGACGGCGACCGCCACCGCGACACGCCCTTCAACGCTACATGCGACAAATAGCACAACTTTTAATCCAGCACCATTTTTTGACTGCTACTGACCAATTTTTGAAAGCAGATCCGATGAATCCCTAGGAGGAGTTCTCAAATTACAACGCGAAAAATTTCACCGAAAGTGAACAATCAAAATCAAAATGGCTGACTCCGTCGGGTTTTGGGGTTATGGCGTCCAAGAGCCTTTTTGCCTACGTCTTCGGCTGAGCTTACACGCTGCCTACCGATGCTCGTATCATATCGGTGAAACGGTGCGCCGGGGCGCCTTTTAAAATTCCTGTAGGGGCGCCTACAAACGATTAAACGCGACTATTTTGGTTATGCTGAGCTTCAAGGCCACCCACTCTACACGTGCCCTCGCGCAGATTTCTATACTTTCAAACTAATTGACGGTTTCACACAGTGATCTTTTACCATCCCGATCCAGAGCGGCCACCTAGTGCGTGCGATCGTTTGCCCACATTTATTAGGGAGCTTCCAGCGAGCAATTGGTCAAGTATGCCTACCAATTTAATTTTAATCGCACGTGCCGGATGCGAGATATAAACTTGCTTCATTTAAAGAGCTGCCACCTTTGTGGCTGATGGCTGAAATGTACACGATTCCTGAGGAACACATGTGGAACTATGGCTTTCCAATTTGTGCTCAACTCGGACATACCAATATGGAGAAATGCCTCCACTTCTGTTGTTGACCCAAAATGTACAGGAAGTAATAATTATAACAGGCTTATTTTTTAAAATACAAAATTCTTCAAATGTCTTTTTTGCCAGGACGTCCCCAGAATGCCTATGGGTGAAAAATTTCGTGGAATCGGGACAAAGTTATAGGCAGTAACTACGAAAAAAGTGGAATTTTTGCCGACATTGTCCGCGCTTAGCCCGAAAAAAAATCTAGGCCAAGTGGGGTGCGCCTATTATGGGGAGTTCAGCTCCATTCACAAGAACGCACGTGCGATATAAGCTTTTGAATGTGCGACAAACTATGCAGAAGTTATTAGCCAAACGCACTTTTGGATGGATAGTAGCGCCACCTTAGTGGCCAAACCGAAAGCGACACATAGCAATTATTAAAATTTTTCGCCACGTACTGACATGTGCTGCCGAGCTTTCATGAGTTTGCAGCATGTCAAGGCT